CTCTATAATTTCTCTGGTGTCATGTACCAACAATACTTTTTTAATATAAAAATTGTCTTTCAGATGATAACACAGGAGTGTCAAACTCGTGGCCTGCGGGCTGGATGTGACACGCATTGGCTACGCCCACATCTGGTTTCGAGAAGGGGGGAAAAGTCACGATACATCATGTGACAATGCCATGACGACACAAGTTTGACATCCCTATGATAACACAATATAAATTTCAACCCTTTTAAACACCGTTAGAAAAAAGCCATCGGAGATTAGTTCAATATATGATTACTATTGCAAGATTATTATATGCACAGAAATAGAAAGTTTTGATACTTTCCACTATGGAAGAATAGTTGATGAAACTGCTAGATTTTGATCAATTCCTTTGATTAAAGAATATTTATTGATGACTGGCTCTTATGGACTTTTTGCATAAAAATGAAAAATGTGAACTTCTGATCATAATCAGTTTTGATGATTACATAGGATTATAGAAAGTAGAGGACTATGATGTAACTTTAGAGAGAGGGGCTAAAATATATTTGCATTTATAGCTACAATGAAGAATATCGGTTGCTACTTCTTTATACCTTTTTTATTTCTTTTCTATTTTTCTTCAACTTTTTTCTTCCTTTGCACTTTTTGCTTTTTCTTTTATTTCTTTTTCTTTATTCCTCTTTACATTGTATTAATTTGTCATAGTTTTTATCTTCTTGTTTAAAGGTTTTAGATACACAGCCGATAATCCCTTTTGCAACACATTGTTTAAGAGGAAGTGGCAAATGTTTTCCATGTTTTATTGCAAATTGATTGTACACTTATCATTTTAATTTGCTGTGAAACCTGAAAATTTAACCACAAACTTTATGTCAGACAAAGACTTTAAGAATTTATAAAGCTGGCAAACAACTGTGAAAAGTTTTCTTAGTGGAGAAAATATAAATTGGCTAACACGAGCACAACACAACACTTACTGCTTGGCTCGTGAATCTAGTTGAACCTTAAAAGTTATGGTACTGTGAGTTTTATCTGTTCCACTTCTTTAAGTAAAAGAATACATGCTGAAGACTCATTACTTAGCAAGTTATATAGTGTAAGTATCGTAAAACAAAATTCTAAACCTAAAATTTGTATTGGAATTCAAAATAAATAAAATACTTTACAATAAGGAGAAAACTCTGGTACATGGGAGGGAAAGAAAACAGTGCTTGAATGTAAATATAATTATTCTTGTTTAAATTTTCTGTAATCCGTGCAGTATATAAAAGGTAATTCAGGGAGTTTCTGAATAAGCCTACACATAGATCTCACCTCTGGTTTCTGTTACATCACAAACATTTTAAGTTTTTCTCTTGTGGTTAACATAAAATCACCAAAGTATCATTTAGTGTGTTTGTGCATGTGTGTGTTTATGTCTGAGTATGTTGCATAGGATCTGTAAGATTTTAACAGTTTAACTCATCTGTGCATCATCTACAATTTTAGCCAATTAATAGGTAAAGATAACTTTAATCTATGGGACCTGGCAGAAGGTACATAATTTGAAGTTATTTTAGCTCTAGTATGTTATCCTGCTTAAAAAAAAATCAAACTAAAGACTATGTCCTTTACAATCTTAAAGAAAAGCAATAAATATATATTCACATTTATATTTAAACGCACTTGGTTACAACCATTGCAAATGCAGATTATTAATCAGTTTCAAATATTCTTTAATTAACTAGCAGCCTCACTGTCTATGGAGATTCTCAATCATCCAGGTCATAGTTGTCTCAAAGGTGCTTTTTCAAAAGGTAACTGGATTGAGTTATTTTTTTTCCTTGAGGAAGAAGAGGAAATGATTTGCTTCTCATCCAAAAAGCTCAATTGATGAAACTTCTTGGATGAGGAGCAAAACTTTTTCTTCTTCTTCTTCCTCAAGGAAAATAAAACAGTCCAGCTGCCTTCTGAAAAAGCACCTTTGAGATAGCAGCCCCCACTATTTGCTAGATAGAAATACCAAGCCCTGTCCTCCAAGTGATTTCTGGACTGTTTAATTTTCTCACGTACCAGTATGCAGCAATGTAAGTTTGAAGAACAAGTAAAAGGAAAAGGAACAAGTAAAAGGAAATATATAACTACAAGTAATAGATGCCCTACAAACTATGAGATTCTAGACATATTTCAAGAACTTCAAATTAAATGACAGAGGAAATTTTAAATTTTAATTTTAAATTTTGTAATTTAACTGTGTTTTAATATGGCTGTACACCGCCCTGAGTCCTTTGGAAGAAGGGCGTTATAGAAATTTAATAAAAGTTAAAGTTAAAGTTAAAGAAAGAAAAAGTATATCATGCCAGCTGATATCAAAAACTAAACCAAAAGAACAATAATCGTCTTCAGTCTTATAGAAAATAAAAAGCTATAGGCAATATTGTGTCGCCCAACATTATATTAGATTGGGTGGTCCAAATACCACACCAATCTAATGTAATGTTCTGATGGTTAGTTATCAACTGTACACTGAATTAGTAGATTCTCTTTATTTTTTGCAGTTTTATAATTTCACAATTGATGTCCATTGGCTAGATTATAAACATTGTAAAGTAATTATAAACAACCTAACCTTGAAAATGAACCTCAGTAATTTATCACTGAATGTCAATATATGCTACTTAGTCAAACTGGTTACTATTTTATACTGATAATGAAAAAAGTTAGAAGGGTATCAGGCTTAAAGTATCATAGCTTGGCATTTAAGACCAAATTTTAAGATGATGACATTTAAAGCTGTGTGTGAGTCTTTCAGAGATTTAGAAAAAAAAGTCAGACCCTCAAATTTGCACTTTGTGAAGATCCCCAGAAAGTACAAAAAGAAAGAGGACATGCATTGTTTTTCACAAAGGGAATTTTTTCTCAATGTGAATAAATCCATGTTTACCCCTAGTTTTTTTCAAAATGCTAAAAAACAGACTCTTGATCAGAGCAAGAACCTGATAATTTGGAATTGTGTGCCTTGCTATATTCTATTGTTTATCTGTCACCATTACCAGGGAGAGATTCTTGTATCACCCCAATTACCCCCACATCCATAACTGACCCCACTTCAACCATTGCCTCTATGTCTTCCTGTCTTCTTCATCCAACCCCACTTTATCTGTTTTCTGGACAACAACCATGCTCATTATTTTTATACTTAGTTTCACTTTCCTTGACTTCTGACCTGCAATTTTATAGGAACCAAGAATCAGAGTTTAAAACACAAATTTAGTAACCCAAGCAGCAAGTGAATCTAAGCTATTTTTAAATAATTTAGAAACTGACATCAATGATTTTTAAGTTGCTGTTTTTGATTTATTCATAATAATAAATCAAAACTTTGGTGTGATGAAACTAAAGAAAAACTCCAAACAACTCAAAACACACTGACCATGTCTCCTCAAATGGTGATGAAACATTTGCAATCAAATTGCCAAGTTCGGAGCTCAAACCAACAGCCTAACTACCAACCCCAGCTTGTTGTTGTTAGTTGCAAAGTCGTGTCCGATCCATCGTGACCCCATGGACAATGTTCTTCCAGGCCTTCCTGTCCTCTGCCATCCTCTGGAGTCCATTTAAGCTTGTGCCGACTGCTTCAATGACTCCATCCAGCCACCTCATTCTCTGTCATCCCTTTCTTCTTTTGCCCTCAATCTTTCCCAGCATTAGCCTTTTCTCCAGTGAATCCTTCCTTCTCATTAGGTGGCCAAAGTATTTAAGTTTCATCTTCACGATCTGGCCTTCTAAACAGCAGTCAGGGTTGATCTCCTCTAGGACTGACTGGTTTGATCGTCTTGCAGTCCAGGGGACTCGCAGGAATCTTCTCCAGTACCGTAGTTCAAAGGCTTTAATTCTTTGGCGCCCAGCCTTTCTTATGGTCCAACTTTCACACCCATACATTGCAACTGGGAAAACCATAGCCTTGACTATACGCACTTTTTTTGGCAGGGTGATGTCTCTGCTTTTTAGTATGCTGTCTAGATTTGCCATAGCTTTCCTCCACAGGATCAAGCATCTTTTAATTTTTGGCTGCAGTCCCCATCTGTGGTGATCTTGGAGTCCAGGAAAATAAAATCTGTCACTATCTCCATTTCTTCCCCATCTATTTGCCCCAGCTTCTAATATTCAAATACATTTCAACTAAAGAAAAAGAAAAGTAACTTCACCTAATATCCAAAGGACACTAATAATGCCTCTCTTGAAGAAGTTATCCACTAAGTCCCACTTCAAAGCTCTGACCAGGCTATTTCAGAAAAACTTTAGAGATTCCCTCTCCATCATTAAATGATTGTAGGGGCATCTGTGGGGGTGCACAATCAAAGCCCTGTCCTTTTAAACATATGTCAATCACAGAGTACCATCTGGACTTTTTTTCTCATTCAAATTGCAGATGCTCCTTTATAATTGTAATGTTGCAACAATAATATTACATAATATGATGGAAGTGAACATTATTGTTAGTTGTTTGCTTTTGTACTGTATTATTTATTGCTTTAACATTTCTACTCCATTGGAATGTACACTGTTTAGAGTCATTCATGAATGAAGTAGATTATTAGCCTAAATAAATAAAATACTGAAAGTGGCTCATGACTCATAAATAGTCTTTACTCTATGTAACTATAGAAGATTTCACTCTATATGTTTATTGAAATCACAGGAAGAAAAGAGTTACACATGCATGAATTATCTGTACAGTCACTCAGATTTTCTAGTTCTCCTTTCTAATTCAGAATTGCAAGCACTGGTTTCATGCTATAACTTTCATATGCTCCAATCATCATAACCAATGATGAGAGATGATACACTCCAAAGAGTTGGTAGGCACCATTGTGAGGAAGACTGCAGCAAACAGACATAAGATATTACAAAATCAATCAATTTGATCTCTAACCAAAGCTAGGCAAGAAGTAAATCTTTGATACGATAAAAACAATATGAGCAACTGTTTTACTTTTTTGCATTGAAATCTCCATTCTAAATAGTTTACTTGGAAGTTCATCCAGTGGTGGGTTGCCCCCGGTTCGCACCGGTTCTGTAGTAAAACCGGCAGGAGGCTCCGCCCACCAACCCCGATGTCATCAAAACGCTTGTGCAGAAGATCACGCGTGCGCGCTCGCTTCGCTCATGCACGTACGTGGCCCCGCTGTGAACCAGTAGTAAAAGTAAGTAGAACCCACCCCTAAGTTCATCCCATGCTTTTCCTACTTTCAGAGAAATGGAGATTCTAAAGCACCTATGTTAGTTTTATTAGGACACAATATTGACAAAGAAAAGATGTTGTATTAGCATAATTACAGCTGGTTTTATAATATGTGAGATGACTCTAAATCATCTACAAGACTCCACCAGCTTGTCAAAACAGAAAAAAGAAGTAAAATTGCCAGACAAAAGGTCAATGCCTGACATTTTGCTAGCAAGCCAGCTTTGGGACTTTGGAAAGAGTTGAAAGAAGTTTCCTCTGACTCTCTTTTCATGTAATATTCCAACAGCTAATTATTTATCTCTGTAAACACTTCAGTTGTTCTGATTACAATGCTTCCTGACATTTATGGAAGGCAAAGGGGCGAAAAATATTCTCCAAAATGTGTCTGAAGGAAAATAAAATTATACAATTAACAATTCACAGAATGGAATAAAAAGAAAACAGATGGTTGGCTTCATTACTGTTTTTATAAAATTCTTGTTTGAGCAGGTTATAGATTGCCAAAAAAGAGTCCCGAAGCACTGTCCTATCATGCTACACAAGGACAGATTTCTTTTAATAATTAACAACTGCATTGAATTAAAAGAACAAAATCTATTGTAATTTGGTCAAAACTTTTTATGATTTTATAAACTTATGGGTTTCATCTTGACTTCTACTTAAAATGTCTTCCATGCATCACAGCTAGACCACATCTACTGGGAAGCAGACATTCTCGTGCTGAAACATCTCACAACTGAAGGAACTGCCATCTTTTCCCTGAGTAAGTGTTCCCTGGTTAACTCTGCTGCCTGCATCTCAGTTCCAGAGGAGGCAGAAGAGGTTTTCTTGTATTGAGAGTTTTGATTCTTCATTCAGAATGAAATAGTTCCAGACAAGTATTCCATGTGGCACACAAAATCCCCAATTTAGATTCAAATAATATAGGAAAAATGAATTTACTGTATAGCAATTACTTGGGGTGCGTGTGTGTGATATAAATAAATATGAATTATACATTTTTGTCTTCCAGAGAAAAGAAACAAAACAATAAATATTCAATATTTAATACCTGGGGGTAGCTATCAGTCCGTGGTAAAACAGATATATCATAGGTGGCAGCAAAATGACTTTTTGCTTGTTGGATTTGCCCATAACGTTCTCTCTTTCTCCATTTTGCTCTTCGGTTTTGGAACCAGACCTATGTCAAATAAGAACATTGTTAGATTGTCCAAAAGACCATTTCTGTTGCCCTCCCTCTTAATTGTTTTGCCAGCCCATAGATCAGTGATAAATTACTTAAGTCCCAGGATTGCAGCTGACTCCTGAATGTCCTGCATGTATCCGCCAGGCACTTGGAAAAATTATGTCCACATCATAAATATTAATTGACAAAAAGATAAAAATAGTAATATGAACTGCATTACATGTTAATTTCAGTCAATAAAAGTGTATTAAATTTTAATATGTAAAGATAGAGTTTCTTAGTTCACCCACTACTTCCTGGACCACAGGCCCCACATGTTGTCTGTGGTAGCCCTAGAAGGAGTTTTGCTTGAAATTTCTTTAATTAAGGTAGAACTCTATCAAGAAAAGGTGATTATAGCCATTGGATACCTTCTTCTGATTCTTCAAAGAAAATCCATGTCTTAACACACCTTAGAAATATCATGAGAAGATACTTTCCTCTGGAATGATAGAGACCTTGTATATAATCTGACTTGCAATGTCTGTAACTGAATAGCAGTGGGAACATTTATCCCAATATATTTATTTCATTATTACCATCTGTAAACTTTTGGTTCTCTATAAATGTTAAATTCAAAATGGGAGATAGAATGTTTCTATAATAATCTTGCACAGGGAGGGGTATTTTAGTGATTAGAAAATATACTAAGAGTAATGTTGTCACATTAAGTGATTAATTTCAAAGAAAAATTAAGATTGGTTTAGCTACTAATGCTGACTTCATTTTCTTTTCTTTTCCCTCTTTCAGATTCAAACTTTGATAGTCACTTTTAGTTTAAACATTAAACTAGAAAAGAAGGACATTAAAAAAGAAAAGAAGAAATATTGAGTTACAACTTCCTCTGTTGCAGTAAAATAAAGCATTAACATCAAACCACAACTTTTTGTTTTTCCATAATAATATAAATTAGCCATTTCTATAAAAACATACCAATCTAATCGGTAAAACCCAAAATCAAAGTTTCATTTTTTTCCACTTCAGGCACAAATTTCAGAAGCGGTCTCCATGTGGAAACAAAGGTACTTATATTCTTTCCTTTAACCAAAACAGTCAATTTAGCCATTTCTATCAACTCATCGGCTTCTGTAGCCATTCGTCCACAGTGGGAATCAGAATGTCCTTCCATTTTTGCACGTACAATAGTCTTGCTGCTTCAACATACTGTATATAAGATCAAAATTCCAAACTTTTTCTCCAAGTCTTTTTTCATTAAACCCAAAAGAAAAGTTTCTGGTTTTATTTTTATTTTTGTTTTAAGACTTTTTTGTATTATAATATGAATCTTACTCCAAAATTTCTCTGCTTTATCACATGTCCAACATAAATGATAAAAAGTTCCTTCTTTGCTTTTACATTTCCAACATTCATTTGAAATACCTTTATGCATTCTAGATAATGTATCTGGTGTTAAATACCAGCGATACATCATCTTAAAAAGATTTGATTTTAAATTATAATTTAATGTAAATTTTAAACCTTTCGGCCATATATTTTCACATTGTATCCAAAATTCCTTGCCCACTGAATCATACAATGTTTTATATGTTCACTTTCCAAATTTAATTTCAATAACATTTTATAAATCTTAGCAATAATATGCTCATCACTACACACAGTAAAATTTACAATTTGTTTTTAGCAAAACCAAACCCATAAATCTTTTTATCTGATTTAAATCGTTCTTTCAATTGTTAATATATAAACCAATGGCCAGCATAACCTTCTGATTCAAGTTCTTCCCTTGACTTGAGTGTTGGGTCACCAGAGTTGAAAGATAATATTTTACCATATGTCCAGCAGTCTGGCTTTGCCACCATTTCTTTTCTTTAAAAAAGTTTCCTGGGGGGGATGCCCAAAGAGGCAACTTTGTAGAGAATCTTGTTTTATATTTATTCCAAACTCTTAGTATGGCATGTCTAGCAAAGTGATTATTAAAATCAACATTAACTTTAACTTTATCATGCCATAAATAATTGTGCCATCCAAACTTTAATTCGTGGTCCTCTAATTCAAGTAGTATCACTTTGATAGTCACTTTAATGTTATATGTTTGATGGTACATTCAGCAGAAACTAGTGCAGCCAATTTCTATTAAGTATTGTACAGGGTTACTGTTGGAAGAAAAGATCCTGCATGTCTGCACATTTTAATCAAGCTGAATCTGTCAAATTAACTCCAATTATCAAACTTAGGATACTCTATTCCCTCTTAAACTCTTCTTTGAAATGTGAGCCTTATTAACTTAGTACAAATGATTTGTAGCTCTTTTTTCCCCAATGAAACTACTGGAAATATACTATTTCTGTTTCCCTTACCTGGCCCAGTCAGAGAATACAAATGGATGGAATAAGCAGCAATGGGGGGGGAGGGGGGGCGCCCCAGGGCCACCCACAGAAAAGGACTTTATGTGTATCAGTAGCTGTGGTGATCACCACTCAAATTATTTAAAATTGAGTTTTTCTTATTTTGTCCAAATAAATACCAGGAATGAAAGTCACATAAAAGTAGCTTCCATTTTAACATGGACATGAATATACAAACATAAGAGCAACCGTAGTTTTACTTCCATCCTTTATGCCTTGGAAATAAAGTAATAATAGCTTCTCACAATTGTTGAAGTAAATATCTCACTTCCAGTGATTTCTAGGAGCTTTAGATCATATTCAGTCTTGAAGGAAGTCCTACTGAGTTTTACCAATAGTTTCATGAGTTGAATACTCTTTCAGTAGATTAAAAAGAAAAAAGAAAGAAATGAATGAATGAATACTACCAAATTATGATTAATGGAAATAAGGGAAACTTGAATCCATACATGATATTGGGAAAATAGTCTTGGGATTTCTTATGAAAAATAAGCAGAAATGCTGAGAGGTGAATAAATTCAGTTTTAATAAGCCACTCCAAACAGAATTTCAAGCATTTTCAGTAGTTAATTCTAATCTAAAAATCATATAGTCTAATAGGAAAAAAGCTTATTGGAATAGTCTCTTATTATTCCAGCAAATGCTTAACAAATTATAGCTCCAGTTTTATAAAACTGAAAGGAAAATAGGTTTTGCCAGAAATTTCTAAATTGGCACCAGAATAGTGTACTCCAGTATTTGTTCAGTCATTTACATATATAAATACTGTCAACATTACTATTCCTTTAGGCTGGAAATGGAGTACAGTTGTCCCAACACATTAAAAGGAAATAAAAATGAAATGATATCTTGTATTAGATACAGCATTTAAAACTGTATATAAAATGTATAAATAGGAAAAAAGGAAGAAGCAATTTTTTTTCAGAAAGTACAAGCTATAATTATGCTCCTTGAAGAGTCTTGATACAGTATAAGAATCACTAGTATTTTCTATATACACCTAAAGACTGCTAGGAATGATTTTTAATCCATATTTCAGCCAGTGGATAGAGCAACAATGAGAGCCAAATTGTTCTGGCCAAAAAACAAAATGCTGAATGAAGTGCAAAAATTGCAATGTGACAACTGAATTGGGATGAAATTGGAACCAGGTGGATCTCCCTCAAAGGACATAAAATATTAAGATTAAAAATGGATATACTTTGATTCAGGGTTTTTTCACATGGTTTTTTGTATCAAAACTTAGCTTACATATTTTCACTAACAATATAAAGTCAGAAAATTCTAGTTCTTGTGTGAGCAGGGGATTTTCCCCCCTCTTATAAAATTAGACCTGAAAACTTTCAAGAGTATTGCCAATAAAAGAAATTAATAACAAGCTATTCAAAGCCAGAGCTTTGGTATAAGTTTAAAAGTCTATAAATATCTGTGGAGATTCTCAGTCATCCAGGTCTGCTTTTTCTTTGAAGACTGGAGTTAAAGATGCTTCTTGGATGAGAAGCAAAATGTCTTCAAAGAAAAACCAGAAAGTCCAGTTGCCTCTTGAAAAAGCACCTTTGAGACAAGTCTATAAATGATTTATAGACATTTATTGACAAGACGGGCAAAATGCCCCTCTAAGTGTTTCACAATGTGAGCAATATGAATTTGCTACAGGTACACCCAAGTACAATTGGAACCAGAATTTAGGGCACTAAGCAATGCAGTTGTTAAGCAAGTAATGAAGTGATCAGACCCAGTTTTAGGACTATTTTTATCACAATCATTAAGTGAATTATTGATTGATTGATTGAGTAAATTTTTATGCTGCCCATTTAGCTAAAGTGAATTTCATGGTTGTTGAATGAATCATGTGGTCATTGAATGAATCTGGCTTCCCCTACTGATTTTGCTTGTTGGAAGCCATCTGAAAAGGTTACAAATTCTGATTACATGACCATAAGTTGCTGAAACATCATAAATACAAGCCAATTGCCAAATGCTTAAATTGCAATCATGTGACTTCAGGGGATGATGCAACAATATAACTTCAAGGGTGAGTTATAAGTTACTTTTTTCAACACCATTGTAACTTCGAACAGTTTTTAAATGAATGGTCATAAGTTAAGGACTACCTGTACAGAATGGCAATGAAGCAACTGGCAATTCCAAAGTCAGAATTGGCAGATATGTATTAATTTCACAAACTGTAGATTCTTCCCTATCACTAACAGGTAAAAGTCAACTTGTAGGTTCATTTTTATAATTTTA